TTCCTCCCTCCCCCCCTCCCTCGCCGGGCTGCAACTTCCGGCTCTCGCCGCCTCGCGCTCGGCCAGCCTCTCCACCGGCGGCGTCGCTGGCGTATCTAGGCGAGCCGATGTCAACTTTGTAGCGCCGCCGCCCACGAATGCTTCTGGCCCACGCGTAAAACGAGAGCGAGGAGGAGCAAGTGCGGAGGAGCCCGAGCCATGCATCTGCGCCCGCTCGCTTGCTGAGGGGAAAAAGGCGGTGACTGGAAAGCGCACGTTTTGGCGTCGGAGCGACACCTGCGACGGCGGAAAACCAGAGGCCGGAGGGGTTTGAAAGCGACAAGGTGGGGGGGGCGGGGGACTCCATCCTCACACTCGGGAAGGCGAGAGAGATGCAGCCCGCCGGCAAGCTCCTCACGCTGGTGCTCCTCATCGTCACGGGCACGGAACTCACACAAGTAAGCTGCCCCCCCCCCCCCACCTCCCACCCTTTTAAATCGCCATTTTGCATCCCGGCTTCTCGTTAAAAATGTCATCCGGACCTTTAATTGGCCGGGGACAAATCAACAACGCCGATTTCGCGGGATTACGCATGCGAGCGAGCGAGCCGCTCTTCGACTTGAAGGGGAAAAGAAAAAAAAAATCTCATTCTTGTTTACCGCGTTCAAACGACTGCATTCCCTCCTGGAGGTGTGGTGAGCATGCTCGGCGAGTCCATGAATGCGCGGACACCGTGAGTGGAGACAAAAAAACAAAAAAGAGCAGAAACGGAACGGAACGGATATCCCGTCATCCAAAAAGGTCAAGGCTTCATCAAGACGGTTCGCGCGTTTGTGTGTACGCGTGCCCGGGGCGACCGGTTGCCATCGGGTTTTGCCATATTTTGCAAAGTGATGAGCAGCAAGTCCGCGCAGCGCCATCCTGCCTCCGAACGCCACTTTTGGAATCATCCAAACACATTTGAACGCACGCTATATTGAGAGGGAGCCGGCGGAATGGATGGCACGGCGCTCACTCCGCTGCAAACGGTGGACCCGTCCCCCCGATGTTGACGGTCAACAAATCCTGTTTTGTCTTTTTCCAAACTAACCACCTAAACTTGTCACGCACACACTATACGGGACGTCGGTAACTTTGGCCACAGATGTCCACGATCCAATGAACCGACAACCGTAGGCAGAAAAAGCAGGATTGAAGAGGAGAGGACACTCGATCGTCCTCGGTCAGAACGAAGCTGAACTGAATTATTCCGAGTTTTCATTCTTCTTCTTTCAAATGCACGGTGCCCCGCCATCTAGCGGTGGACATTGGAAGCGCACACAGAATATATGGAAGGCAGAACACGATAGCGCTCAAGTGTACGGAAAGCAATCCCCGAGACCCGGGCAACATTGATGACGTCGCCGCTTTCCTCTCAAATTTTTGAACCATCCGCATGAATAATTGACGATTCATTTTGAGATATTAAGATCCAGTCATGGCACACCAATGACAGCTGTTTTGGTGTTAAAACGTTGCAGAGTTGTGGAGTCAATTCTGACGTGGTGAGATTCCCGTAACGTCGACATCACCATTCAGCGTTTGGGAGACCATCGTCGCTAGTTTTCCTCCAAAATAATCCACAAACGGCGGCGATAATTTCGCGGAATGCGGACGGCGGTGCGTAAAAATTTGCGGCGCTCGTAAAATGATTTCGTGATGACGGATTACGTGGGTGGGAAATGCGAAGTCACTGATGACGAAACAGCAGCCGATCGGAGAGATAAGCGAGCAAAACCGTTTCCCGACTTGGGTGTGCAGGGGTGGGACTCACCGGAGAAGGAGCGAGCAGAATTTTGCTTGCTGACCTCTGTCGGGGTGAGCAAGGTGTCGTGGCCACCGGTGCCCAAACTCGCAATCATCCCAATTCAAAGGAACCGAGGAGAAACTCTTCCCATTTCACGTCAAGATCGAGGTTGCCCTTTTTTTTTTTTTTTTACGGGGACGTTTGTTTGCGGGGCAGGTTTTTTTCTCGTCGTCGTGGCGCAACTGTGAGCTCACAGTCGTTACAAGGAAAACATCGCAAGAGATCAAGACGGCCAAACCGGCTCGCATACAAAAAGGGCAGATCGGCTCCCGGCGCTGTTCCACCGGCTGATTATGAAGGCATCGGCGCGTTGAAAAGCCGCCGACTCCATCTGCTGTCAAAGACCGGGGGGGGTCACTGTCAAATGCTCTTCATGAGCAGAAGGCAAGGAGGGCGTGTTTTTGCCAATCTTTGCCAAGGAGTACAAAACCTTGACAAAAATGTGCGTCAAGTTGCTGCAGGATGTTTCCGAAATGCGATCTGTCGAGTGCAAAGTCGGCTCCTGTCAGACTGAAATCGTCGACGTCGCTTTCTCAAAACGCTGACGTTGTTTTCACGTTGGGCGCCCTCAAGACTAAAATGTCTTCAAGGGTTTTTTTCAGAAGACTTGAGCGAGATTTGTTGACCTCCGCGTTCCTAAAAATCCGTTCACCGTGTTGATTGGAAATTTGGAAGCGTTTTCAGTTTCGGAAAACTCGCACGTCAATTTCCCTCATGCTTGAAATGTTTGTTCCGACGTTTAAAAATTGAAAAAGAAATGTTTCTTAAAACATTTCCACAAGACGAAACTTTGATCGTTACATCCGATGTTGATGAAAATCTGTCAGGTCGATCAAAGCGGACAATCAAGTCCTCCGACCGTGCGTGATAAAACTTTGCTCTGAATGGCGGCACCGTTAAAACGAAGCTCGCGGCTCATTCGATGAGCTCGGAAAATATCGGCGTCATATCACCTTGACGGATATTCCGTCGATCCAGGCGATCGATTCGCGGCAGCCAATCGCTGATTTGGATTCCATCGCGGTCTTGCAGGTGCGCCTACATTTCGCTCATGCTGACACTCTATTCGTGTCAGCTGACGGAAACGACGATAAATCGATACAAGGGAGCGCCGCCGCGCCAACACGGTTCATCAACAATTTAGGACAGAAGAAAAGAAATGCCGCCGCACAAGCGGATTCTTTTTGGCGGACCGAGCGTCCACCGTGGGCGGCCGTCAAGAGTGGGAGCCGCTTTGTCGTCGCGGGCCCGGAGCGGGAATGTGTGTGCGCTGGCGTTGTCACGGCAACCGCTCCTCACCGTCACGCAGCGCGGGCTGCGATGTTACTTTTTAAAAAGATGGCTCGCGTCTCGGGAACTCGGAGCGCTCGTTTGTCCGACTTGGACAAATATGCCAGACCTCGCATTATCCAGTCCAGGGTGTCAACCGGGACAGGCTCCGGCTGACCTGGACACCTTGTGAGGAGAAGCGCTACGGAAAACGGGCGGATGGACCCGGACGGAGTCCTCGAGATACCCGCAGTACCGCATTGAGCGTCCAGATGGCGCCAGAGTCCAAGACACCAACAGCTCAACCCTCGTCAGGGGTCGAAAGCATTTCGGCACCCGTCAGAGAAGCGACAGGACAAGCCTGGAGTTGAATTGAGAGGCGGAGTGGAGGGTGGAGATTGTGTTGCCACAGCAACGGGCAGCATCTCCTCGCCCGCATCTGCTTAATGCCTCCTTGTCATCCCGGCTGGGGGGAGGGGAGGGGGGGCACGATGGGCGGATCAAAGTGCAATGGCAGATTGGTTTTTGTTTTTTTTTTTTTCCAGGGGGCTGGCTGACATCATTGCGTCTGGAGACAGATGCGTGGTAGCGCCCCCCCCCGCCCCCCCCTTTCCTCTGCGGCGCTACCTCCTCCCCCTCTTTGCTCTCATCTACTCGGAGCGCGCAGCCTCTCGATGACGGCACGCGGGAGGGAGGCGGCTTGTGGGCGTGAAGCAAATCGTAAAGAGGCGCATCGGGCAGAGGGGCCAGTGCGCGGGAGAGAGCCGAGCCGAGCCGAGCCGAGCCACGCGCGGGATCCTGCGCCCGTTCTTTTACTTCAGCCCCGAGATTCCGCCGGAAGAGGAAGATGCGCGACAAAAGAGCAACCCGGCCGGGGTCCCGGTGCGAAGCGGCGAGCCGGTCCGGGCTGCGCGATCCCCGTCCGAAGCCGCTTAGGATGAGGACGGCGTGAGTTGGGGCGCGCTTTCGGCACGGCGGCGGGGGAAGAAGAAGATGTCGGTTCCGCTGCTCAAGATCGGCGTGGTGCTCAGCACCATGGCCATGATCACCAACTGGATGTCGCAGACTCTGCCCTCGCTGGTGGGGCTCAACACCACCAAGCTGACGGTGGCGCAGGGCGGCTACCTGGACCGCAGCACCGGAGTAAGTGCGCGCCCACCCGTTCGGTTTGCCCTTTTACCACCTTCGGGTAACTCTTGATCCGATGCGGGACCGCCGAGGAGGAGGAGGAGGTGAGACCGCACTTCCCGTCGTAGCTTTCCTAACTCTGGCGACAACTGGCTCATCTGCGTCTTACGTCCGCCGAAGAGCGTGCGGCAAAACCCGAGGCTGACGCGTCGCAGACGGCGGTCAGATCCACCGAGAGTTGAATAAGCCGAAGGGCGGTCGGCGGTTCTGCCCGTCGGGACCGCGTTGGCTTGGGTTCTTGCACGACGAAAAGGGGTGACACAATCTTGCAGTTGGTCCAACTCTTTGTCTTTCCTAAAAGCAGCACGTGAGCTTTTTCCAAAGGCTGGCGGTGCAGCACAACGGCGCAGCTTCGACCCCCCCCCCTGCCCCCCCACTTTGTTCGCAGCTTCCTCCCACTGATGAAAGCAGTGGGTGCACGCGGGATTTGCTGGACGATGAAAGGTTTTTCCACTTGCTCAGCTCGGTCCGTCGCTCAGGAAACGCTCTCCCGCAAATCAACGATTGCAACGCGCTCCGAAAACGACTGATTTGCTTCGCCGGATCCGCCGTTTGTTGCGCGGGTTGATCGGGCATCGGGGCCTTCTTCCATTTGCTCCCGTCCGTCTATCCGACCGTGCAATAGCGAAGCTCGCCGACAGCTTCCGCCCGCGTGACTCGCAAGCGCCGCCGCGTCACGACACATTTCGCTTCGGCGGGTCGACCGGGGTTCATTTGCTCCAAAAACGCCTCTTTGTTCATCGATCTACGCCGGCGATGACGCGCTCCTTCCGCTACGTGGCACAAGGTCCATCCGGACGGCACCTGTTGCCATTCGCACAACTGAAGAGCGGCTGTTCAACAAAACAACCCGACGGGAAAGAGAAACGGACATTTCGGTCGACGGAAACGTGACTCTCCGTCACTTTGCCTGCCGAGCCCCCGGCTCGGCTTAGCTCCTCCCCGACATATGCAGACTTTCGTCTCAGTCCGAGCGTATCGCGCTTCACCGATCGTTCCCGGTCAGCGATGACCGCTTTCCGAATCGAACGAGAGCATCCGCACCCCCTGCGGTCAGCTCTTCGGGCACGGCCACTCAGCCGCCGCTTCCGCCCGCTCTTCAGGTGCTGCCGGCCAACCCGGAGGAGTCGTGGCAGGTGTACAGCTCGGGCCAGGACGGCGAGGGGAGGTGCGTCTGCACCGTGGTGGCGCCCCAACAATCCATGTGCTCCAGGGACGCCCGCACCAAGCAACTGAGGCAGCTGCTGGAGAAGGTAAGGGGCCGGCCCCGTTCTCGAGTGGGTCGCGCGAGAAGAAAAAGAGAAAGGCGGCGCCGTGACGCGGCTTTGCCGGCAGGTCCAGAACATGACCCAGTCCATCCAGGTGCTGGACCAGAGAACCCAGAGGGAGCTCCAATACGTGGAGAAGATGGAGGTGCAGCTGCGCGGCCTGCAGACCAAGTTCCAGCAGGTGGAGGAGAACCACATGCAGAACGTCGCCAAGCAATACAAGGTAAGAGCAAATCCTCGACGTCATCCCATCCGTTCGCTCCGATCCCGCGCACACGAAAGACAACGGCACGCTTTGCCAAGAAAACGCAAGCGTGCATTTCCGATGAGTTCATGACCTTCAGTGCATGAAAACGGTGTTCATCCCCCCAAAAAAAACATTTCCGAGCGCCCCCGCCTTTTTGAGCGCCAGCATATTTTTCCGTAATCCCTCCCAAAAGTCTTACCGAAGCTTTGTTCCGTGATGCTGCACACTCTGAACCAAGAGGGGGCGGCACATTTGAAAGAATGCTAACTTCTTAAGAGACCTGCTCGAATTCGGACTCGAGCAAACCGAGCTCCAAGCGTGAGCTTCACTTCCCGTTTCAATTTCTTCTGCTGGCCGCTTAAGCAGCGGCGCAGCATGGCGCCCTCTGCTGGTCGAGACATCCGTAACGTCAACGATGACGACGCACGTGCCATTAAAGTTGAAAAGCTTTCAAACACAACGCCGATGTTCATTTGGTCGCGATGCTTTCCTGACAAAATATTGAAAACAATGCCACTGTGTTCGTTTGTTATCACACACACGGTGGTGAGGCATTTATTTTCCTTTCCCACAAAAAAAAAAATCAAGACACAGCCACTTTGCTACAATTTGCCTTAAGTGACACATATGTCATGCCGCCCCCCCCCCCACAAAAAGAGGAAGATTGGCATTCTCAGCTCCTTCCATCTTCCATCGACTGTGCGACGCCCGACCCGGCTGCACGTTTAACACCGCAACCGCAACGCCCTTCCCATCAAATGCATGCCGTTGCTGTTTTTTCTGTGCAAAAAAAAAAAAAAATGTCACAAATCTTGCGCGTTTTGTTTGTTGTGTGTCTGCTAGCAAGGTTAGCAAGCCGCTATCAACAGCCTGTCGTTTTCTTGCTTGCAGGGCTAACTTTAAGACATGTAAAGAGAGAGAGACAGAAACAGAGAGAAACAGAGAAACAGAAAGAGCCACAGGGAAGAAGAGGCAGGTCAAAATCCAGATTTTTCCACCCTTCTCCCTTGCCCCCAAGTGAGAGTTTTTTTGGGGTGGGGTGGGGGGGCAGTTTATTTAGCAAGCATTGAGAACCAGACCAGCCCCTGCCCACACCACTGATTTCTTCCTGCATGTTACTTCTTGCTGTCCCCCTAACCCCCCCCTCTACTTTGACTCCCAAATGTCATTCATCTTCTCTCGTTGTTGTTATTTCCTTCTACTTGCTTTGGAGCTTTTGTCTATGCATATTTGGTTACTCGAAAAATCCAACAAAAAAAAAAAAATTAATTCATTATTTTGAAAAAAACTAGACGGAAAATTCCAGTTGTGTGTGACATGTAAAAAAAAAAAAAAAAAAAAAAAAAAGCATGTAATCCTTCCTACGATGTTGCATTTTCAAAAGACGATGACCAATAAAGAGCTTTCCCACTTGTTGCTGGTGTACCGAAGACTGGCTTCTTTATTCTTTTTTTTTTTTTTTTTTTTAAGCGGCTGGTCACCGCCGGGATGGAGTGTCGAGAGCAAAAGAAATCAAAAAACAGTCTGGGTTTGTGCGCATGCGCGTGTGCACTCACACATACGCACACACACACACACATACAAACACACAGGTACACTCTGAACACACAGCGGGTGTTGGTGGCAGGTTAGTGTTAGTGTAGCTAGGAAAAGACAGGTTTTTTTTGGGGGGGGGGGGTTTGCTTTGGAGGAGCGCTTGACACTCAACCGAGCTTATTCTAATCCTTTCAGGCCATAAAGGCGAAAATGGAGGAGCTTAGGCCGTTGATACCCGTGTTGGTGGAGTACAAGGCCGATGCCAAATTGGTATTGCAGTTTAAGGAGGAGGTCCAGAATCTGACGTCAGTGCTAAGCGGGCTGCAAGAGGAGATGGGGGCCTATGACTACGAGGAGCTCCACAGCCGAGTGTCAAATCTCGAGGAGAGGCTGCGAGCGTGCATGCAAAAATTGGGTAGGCCACAGACGCACATGCACACACCTGCACCCAGACAGGACGCTCGGGCGCATCGGCGGCGCGCAAAAACACGGGCCGGCGCTGCGTCGCGAGTACGACGGCGACCCGAGACTTCAAAGCGAACGTAAGAGCAGACGTGGCCACTTTTGGTCAGTCGAGTAGGGCTGCGACTGCAACCGTTATTTTTAGGATCGATTCATCGGTACGTTTGTTTGGGGGGTTGGTTATTTTTCCCCAAATGAACCCATGAATCTGATTTCCAAAAGCATGTTAAGTTAATAAGTTTCGCAAAACCAAACGATGCCCCCCCCCACCCACACAAACCTTTTTTTTCTTATTTTTCAAAAAACAGAGAGGTCTTCACACCACAAATAAATGACGCTGTAACGGTGACTGTTAGGCTTTGTGAATAAAAAGCGATGACAGGTGGCAGGTCAAATTGGCCCTTCACCTCAAGTCCCACCGACTGCACACAATCGTTTTGCTCTTTCTTGACGCACTTTTCCATTGCCACCAACATCCGCGCACCAATTTTCAACTCTGGCTTTTTTCGGCTCCGCCCCCAAAACAGCCCATTTTATGGGCAAAATGAACGACTCATACAAATAAGACACATTCTATCCAAATACACACGATGTTTGCTTTGTTCATTCACACAGTCCAAAAAAAAAAAGGGTCCGCATCCGACGCCGAGAAGGGACCGTTTCGCCATCCGTATGGCACCGCATCATTCCGCTCGGATTGTTTCATCCTTTTTTTTCCTGGCGTCGGCGTGGCCGGTAGGCGCGCCGAAGCGCTTCTTCAAGTGGACCGCTCGACCCGGCGGTGATCGGAGGCGCGCCTGATTTGAGGAATCGCGGTAAGTTGGGGTCGGATTCGGCGCGCGGTGGATTCCATTTCGAAAAGGGACGCCCACGTTGTTTTCCCGTTCCGGATTTCAATCGTCACATTGCCGGCGCGGCGTCATTGCGGCGATGTCCTGTAACGTCCGCACATCATTCCTTGACTTGGGTCTCAACCAGACGATCGGGCTTGCGCGCCATGTCCGAGCAAATCATCAGACTCGCCGAGGGAAGCTTTTTGCTTCGCGGCCCGTGGCCGGCGTCTTCACACCTCCGTCGCAAGTCTCGGCGCTAATGGATGCACGCCCACGCTCCATTGAGTAAGACGCCGCAAATCGCGGGTAGATTATGTCTCCGCGCTCCTATTGTGTTTTGGTTTTTTGTTTTCTGATGATTGATGCCGCGAGAGGCGCTTTTGAGGAATGCTTTTCGCCGCGCATCTAGACCGATGTCGCCAAGCTCATTTCTGCTATTTCCTCTGCAGCATCTGACCCGCTTTGGTTGGTTTAATCTGCAATCATCTGCGCTCGGCTTTGCTGGTGGGGGAGGGGGAGGAGCGCGCGCGCGTGTTTGCTTCGCTCCCTCGTGTTTGTCGGTAGCGCGGCCTTAAGCGATTGGGAGAGAACGCCTTGCTCGGTTTCCATCGGTGTGGCCGTACGGACTCGGCAAGCGTGTGACATTCTGGGCCCATGCGAGCGGATTCGAGGCTCGTCGCGCGCCGAGACGAGACAAGATGAGATCAAAGACGAGGTCGCCCAGCAAGGGACGACGCAACGGAGGCCCGCCGGCGCTTTCGTCTCGGCACAAAAGGCGCAGCCGAGATTTCAGTCGTGAAGGTCAATAAGCTGCGTTGGCGTCAGCAGAACAGAAAAGGAAAAAAAGGAGAGAGGAAAGAGTCAAATGCAAGTCGCCAGCCGCGACGCCCCCCACCCCCCGTTGGAATTTGATTTCGAAAGGAACTTCGCGGGGCTTCAGTTTGTTCATGGCCAGTGAGCAAACGTCCTCGCTAAGCTCCACCCACGCGCAACTTCTCGTCAGCCGTTGGGCGAGTATGCAAAACTCAAATTGGGCAGCGATCGGAATTTGACCCGTCGACTCATGCCGACGGGTCTGCCAAATATGGAAACGGGCTCGAAGAACTGATGCCGTTTGCTTTTGGAGGACGCCTGAAAATGGTCAAAACGGCCCCCACGCGGTCACTTCAAACCCAGTCGTGGGCTTCCTGCAAAAGGGCTTCTCAGGGGGGTCTTGTCGTGATTGCTATGTCCACCTGCAATGTGTTGCTGGGGGCGAAGGGCAACTTTGGAAAAGGCAAAATGGCCCCAAAGTGGCGACTTCCAAACAAAATGGCAGACTTCTTGAGACGAGCTGTTGGGTCCGCTCATGACGGACGTGCCGACCAAACTTGATTTGCACAAGTCCAACTGGCTCGAGGGGCTTTTTGGCAAATCCCTTTGGAGATTTTCCGCAGCGGGAGAGCGAAAGAGTGTGAAAGTCGATTGCGTCCTTCGACCTTTGTTGTGTACCGCAAGAGTCCCGCGGCGCAGCCGAGGCGGGCAGGAAATGGGAGCGAGGGGGGTGGGGCGCGGTGACCATCGATCAAGGGGACGCGCCTGCTCGCCGGGCGATAATCAAATGGATAAATCAGCCGCCGTCACGTCCCCGAATCACGAGTCACTTGATGATGACGCCTCGCGCACGGAAACGCTTGACCGTTCGGAAATGGAGATGCCAAATCGGGAGCACTTGACAGCGGGGGAAGTTTTCGGGGGCTTCATTAAAAGAGCGTCGCCGAGTTGTGCCGTTGGTGGATAATGACTGGAAATATGTGCAAAAGGGGCTAACGGCCATCACGACTTCGTCTCGAATTGAGCGCGGCCAGAACGGCTCATTCCGAATGACCTCATCCAAAGCGGCTAATTGACATTCGCTCGGCCCAAACGGCGTCCGAAGGAACGGGCGCTCAACGGCGAGTGCTGCTTCGTATCCCCGCCCTAATCCGTTCTCATTAGATTCAGAATGCTCTTGATGTCGAGGGGTCGGGGGTGGGGGGGGGGGCAATTACACCGAGCGGCTCCTGTTGTGTGAGCGGACTAACGACAATCATCTCTTGGCCGTGACGAAGGCGGAGGGAGAGGCCAGATGGACACCGACCGGCTCCCTTCATCCTTCTGGCAAACTCATTTGGATGTCAAACAAATGAAATCTTGGCCTAACGGATGGGACGCTGAAGACGAAGCGCCCCCCCAGAATGGCTTTTGGCTCCCGCCTTCTTACCTCTTGTCCTTTGCAGCATGCGGCAAGCTGACGGGCATCGGCGAGCCCATCACCGTCAAGACGTCGGGGTCCAGGTTCGGCTCGTGGATGACGGATCCCCTGGCGCCCGAAGGAGACACGCGGGTAGGAACTTTTAAAACTCTTTAGTGTCCAAAAGGCAAAAAGCCAACCTTTGCCCATTTCGGGGCCGGAAAGAAAAATGACACGCGTCACTGGAAAATATTCCCATTCACGATGATCTCGTTTCCGAGAGAATTCTGCAATTACAATCGCAACGATGTTATGAGTCAGCGCGAACGGCGGATCGATGGACTGCGCGTACCTTTGACCAAACCTCCGATCGACAAATCGTTTGAAATCATTGACGACTCAACTTTGGGGTGCAATCCATGTTAGCATTTGACACCAACCGCTTTCTTCGGCCAACGCGAGCAACCGTCAACGGGCAGCACGGGAGTCACTTGCAGAAACACAACTCGTGGCGGCATGCGCACTAAGTGTCCGGGTCAAAAAAAAAAAAAAAATTCAAACAGATCTTACCTATTGACTGGCAGATTTGGGTTTTTTTTCCCCTTGTCCTCAAAGCAGCAGTGTCGATCAAGTCCTAAAATGATCCACCTTTGTTGTCGACTCCATCTCCGAGGTTAGGACAACGGCCAAACTCCAAGCGCCTAAAACCAGAGTGGTGCTGATGAATGAATGAAAAGATGTCCAACGTCCTAATTTGCCAAGAAAATTTCAACCGATTTGATATTTACAATTGTCGGCCTCGGTCGGATGCTTCGCAATCGCATCATTTTGTCGTTTTGTCTTCGGTCGGAACGCGCCCGAACAGTCCAGATTGCGCCGGGCTGTAAGCGCTGCAAAAGAAATCGCAAATCCCCAAAACACCCGCGGCCGCACTTTCACTCCGCGATGAGAAAATGCAAATATCAGATGGAAATCTTTGCGGATTTAACCAGGCGCAAGCAGGGCGCGCAACAGAAGCCCGGCGAGCAGCGATCCAACTTTCAATGTCACGTCGGGAGGATGAAGATGCAAATTGCTTGCCGGGGGCCGCTTCCGCTTGCAAATTGCTGACCTCGTGTTATATTTAGCACAGCGCCAAGGCTACCTGGAAGCCAATACATGAGAAGCAGATCGCATGAAAGATCCGCTGTTCTATTCTCATGGGTGGCCGGAAGCGGCGGGTAATTGACCCGAGCGTGCCGCCGTCGTTTGATACGGCCCTTTTTTGGCTCTCCAGAGTAATCAACGACTTATTCCTTCCCAACATCTTTGATTAGAAATCGAAATGTGGCGGCGTCTTGGTAACGTCTGTATGCCAAAGTGAGCCGCAGATTCAAGCGGGCAACGCGCCGGGCTCCGGTTCAATTGCCGGCGGCGGCATTTGCAGCTCCCGGAGGCAGTCTCAGAGAGTCTCCGATCCGGGCACGAGAGGTCTGAAGCGCCTGAAGCTCAGTCACACCTCGTTCGATTCAATCAAAGAAATACGGAGCAAGCGCACGACCGCTCGCGAGGACTCGCCGACGCCTCTTTGATATCTCGGAGGGCAGACGTGGCGGGGAAGGGCCCCTAACTCCTTTGCGTCCGCCTCTGCTGTGACTCGCAGGTCTGGTACATGGACGGTTATCACAACAACCGCTTCGTGCGGGAGTACAAGTCCATGCGGGACTTCATGAGCACGGACAACTTCACCTCGCACCGACTCCCCCACCCGTGGTCCGGGACGGGCCAGGTGGTCTACAACGGCTCCATCTACTTCAACAAGTTCCAGAGCCACGTCATCATCAAGTTTGACTTGCGCACCTCGGCCATCAGCAAGTCCCGGCAGCTGGACTACGCCGGCTTCAACAACGCCTACCACTACGCCTGGGGGGGCCACTCCGACATCGACCTGATGGCGGACGAGGGGGGCCTGTGGGCCGTCTACGCCACCAACCAGAACGCCGGCAACATCGTCGTCAGCAAGCTGAACCCCAACACGCTGCAGATCGTCAAGAGCTGGACCACCAACCACCCCAAGAGGAGCGCCGGCGAGTCCTTCATGATCTGCGGCACGCTCTACGTCACCAACGGCTACTCGGGAGGCACCAAGGTCTACTACGCCTATTCCACCAACTCCTCCACCTACGAGTACATGGACATCGCCTTCCAGAACAAGTACTCGCACATCTCCATGCTGGACTACAACCCGCGGGACCGCGCCCTCTACGCTTGGAACAACGGCCACCAGGTGCTTTATAACGTCACGCTGTTCCACGTCATCCGCTCGGAAGAACTGTAACTGGATATATCTAGATATATATGTGTGTGTGTGTGTGTAAGACTGAATGTACACTTTGGTGGGAGGGGATAACGGAAAATATCTGATTGTTAAGAGTTTAAAAAAACTAAATGGAGAATTTTGTATGTTTAAAAAATAAAAAAAAAAAACCCATCATACTATGACTATAGTAGTTAGGCGCTAGTTGATCCTTTTTGTTAGACGATTCGTTTGGACTGAAAACCGTTTGATTGTTTGCCGCATAGAAAATGATTGTAAACGTAGACGACATCTCTCGAAATCTCTCTATATGTATATCACATACAAAACAACAGAAGCGATGCCCAAAAAAAATGAGGAGAAAAACCCCACCCCTTTTTTATAGCGTCGTCATCAATCTCGCACTCGTTCCAACGGCTGTGATTCGTCTGCAATAATTCAAAGACGATGAATTGCGGAGGGGGGGGGGGGACAGAACTAAATTTGCAATGAACCGCCTCCTCCAAGGACCGGACAGGACTTTGCGTGGCATCATTTCCATCGACTGTAGTAGCACATCAAGTCGGTGGAGGACGGCGCCAATAACGAGCCAAGGCCGCGACTGTTGCCGGGCTCTCTCGATGAAGCTCGTTGCACCCGTGTTGGTGACTCTCATGCTTGGAGGGGGAAAAAAAAACAAAAACAAAGAAAACGCTTTCTTTGCATGAATGTTTTCTACTGCTCCTGAATGTCTTTTGCTGTATTGGTAGCCCACGATTAAAAAAAAAAAAACAACAAGAACAAGGGGAATTTTGATATATTTAGCTGCTTCTTTGTAGTTATTTAGAAACTTTGTTTGATTTCTGTACCACCGTAACTTTGGCCGGCCGGCGAGGCTTCCTGTTCATTTTCGAGCGCATGGAAGGAATTTGAAGAACATACCCAAAAACAAAAAAAAAAAAAAAAGACAAAAATAACAATGTCTCCGAGGTTGTCATCCACAATTCACCCCGTGCACCTGTGGCGGAAAGTTGTTTCTTTACGATCCACGTCACGTACTCGCTTGTGAAGGACGCTGCTGCTTTCAATGTAATCCCCCTCCACAAAAAAAAAACAAAAAAGAAAAAAAACATCTTTCTTTCTTTTCCATCTGTACTGGATGTGTTGTACCTGAGATGAGATACTTCATGCGTCGTCGTGTCAATTAAAAAAAAAAAAAAAAAAAGAGAATTACAGTGTTTCAAGTGTAAAAACAAACAAACACACAAACAAAATAAATAAATAAATGAATAAAAGTCACGATCCGGATACTGTTTTTGGAACAAATCGGATACGCCCCGGATACTGTTTTGTGTGTGTGTGTGTGTGTGTGTGTGTATATATATAT